CCTCCTTTTTTTCCAAACATAATTTTGAATGTAGTGTATATACAAGGTGGTGGTCTTCATCATTTACATCATAAATGCTTTCTTTTGTGGAGGATCCAAATGTAGTGATATGTTTTTAAAAGCAGACATGTTATCATACCATTTTTTTTCACTTGTACAACCCACAAGGATGGAAACTCTAGATTTGGAGTCTAACTTGACAAGATAGTATATAGATTTGATTAATCATAACACATCAGTGAGGTCCCAAATAGTGGGGTATCAATATAAGGTCCATGTACAAATGTAAGTTCATATAACATATACAGTCTTAACTCAAAGTGAATAACCACAATTTACTATAACAAACATTCTCCTATATACAATTTCCTAAACAAATAATCAAAATCTTAAATATTAGGTTATGATTTCTGGAGTTAGAAGTAGCCTATCACAGAGGCTACATGACTTTATTCTACTTTTTAAAATGGAATAGTAGTTACTTTTACTAGAGACAGAGGATGTGTAAAACTAATCTTAAAAAACTTTTTTCCCCTTGGCCAAATGTAGGTCCATTGTAACCCGGAGTCAACCATGATACATACTATCTATAAATATACCTTTGCTTGTACCTGTACATCTGCCTGCACCTGTACCTACCCATACCTGTACCTATACTTATCTTGCATGGAAAGGCCTCATGTCAACAAAGTTCTTTTCTTGCAATATTTACCATTAAATATTGTGACTTGTGATTGATTTCAACCAAGGTTAGCCTTTTAAAATTTCTAATTATTTTTATGCCACATCTTTTAATGTAGAATCTTCAAAATCACTATTTTTAGTGTCTGCATCACATTCTACATGTTCTCAAATGCCTTTCTCTCATAGAATCCATCTTGTTTGATGACTGTACACTGAATGGTGTGGCTGTGTGTTTAATGTCTTCCTCTTCATTTGACTGTAAGCTCTCCAAGGGCAGGGTCATGTCAGCTTTAGCTCAGGGTTGAATCACCAGCAGCAGCACTTTTGCTGCCCCTAATAAACACAGCAGATTTGCTGCCCCTAATAAACATATTATATGTAATATATATGTTATTATTAAAGTGTATAAATTAAATTTATATTTTACAATATAGATTTTTCACCTTCCATTTACTAATTATTTATTGGTGGAAATTTGGGTTATTTGTAGTACTTTCTTTCATTAAATTGTTTTGTGCATTTCTGATTATTTCTTTAGACTAAATTCATAAATTGAAATGCTATATTAAGAAACATTGGTACTCTCAAACTTCCTGAACTTCTAGGAAATGAGTACCAGTTTATACTCTCAGCAAAAATGTATGGGAGTATCAGTTTGACAGGGAAACATTTCATTCTTCTCATTTTCTTTTAATTATGTTTATCTTATTGTGTAATATAATCATATGGCTCTAAATGCAAGCGTATGTGTTGGCCTTGGGGCACTTTGAATTGCCGTCATCATGCTGTCTTGCTCTTCACTTCCTACTCTGCCTAGACAATGTGGATCCCTTTCTCTCACCCCAAATACTTCCTTTCTGAGGGACAAGAGGCTGATGGTGCACCTACGGCCTAACAGTAGTTATGTCCTTCTACCACAGGCTACTCAAATATTGGTGCTTGGAGAGGCCCCCATAATTGCCACTTGTGGATTTGGGACAAATGGACAGAAGTAGGGCTCCTCCTCTGCTCACTGCTTCCGGGAGGTGAGTGTCCAAGAGCTCCTGGAGAAGCCCTCTGCATCCTTTTCTCTGGAGCGTGTAGACAAGGACCACTGCAGCATCAGAACACTCTGGGAAGAACCAGAGGCCTTCCTCTCTAGAATAAGTTACAGGGCCCACTTCTCTCCATGACTGCCTATGGAAGGAAGTGGGCCTCCCCAGCATAGGACTGCTATCTATGACTTGGTGTGTTCTCAAGTGAAACTCTGGGAAAAAGGGAGAACAGTCACCTCTGGTTGGGTCCTCTCAGACCTCCAGAACTAGACCCATCCCTGCGGACCTCAGCCTCTGGCCTGCACCCATAGCCCCACTCCTGTCGTGATGGATGCTGCTTTTTCTCCACTACTATTCACCTTGCTGCTCACAGCTGAGAAACTCCTCTGGAAATCTTTCTCCAGCTACTCACTTCTGAGGAGTGTGGACACAAGAATTTGCTTGGTAGGAGGAGGGGATGAAGGGCTGATGTCTTTCAGACATAATCAAGGTAACATCACTGTCACCTTGCCATCTGTGGAGAGTCCTGCAAAGGGCTGGGCAGGAGAAAAGGAACCTACCTATGAAGCCAGGAAGAGAAGGTGAGGGAGGAGGGGATCTGGGGCTCAGGAATGTGATTTACAAGGTAGGAAATCCTCCCCAGCTTGCAGAGGGATCTCTAGGGAGGGGGAAAGGACCATCAAGAGCTGTCTCACCCAGCCTGCTGCTGAGGTGGGCAGATGGGAGAAACTAGCAGGACTAGGCATTGAGGATTCACTTCATTATCTTCCTTACCCCAACACCAAAGCTTTTGAGAGAACCAACATCTTTACAATTATCAAGTCTTTCTCTGTATGTACATAGTGTATCTTTCCATTAATTTAGATTTTCTTTAATAACTTCCAGTAAAATTTTTTCACTTTCTCCACAAAGGACTTGCACACCAATTGTTAAGTTTATTCCTAAGTAATTTGTATTTTTGTTGCTATTGCAAATGGCATATTTTTCATTAAAATTTTTATTGTAATACAACAAAAAGTACACAAATAAAGTGTACACGTTCACTTTTGTATATTCATGTAACCAAACAGTATACTTTTTAAAGCTACACTGTTGGTTGCTGATGATAAAGATGCAATAGATTTATATGTTGATTTTTTTCTATATTGATTTTGTACCCAGCAAGCTTGCTATACTCACTTATCAATTCTATCTGAATTTTCCTTTGGGGCTGCTACACATGCAATGATTTCATCTGCAAATACTGACATTCTTCTTTCCAATCCTTATATACTTGTTGTTATTTACTGGACTGGCTAAAACTTCCATTATTGTATTGTCTAGGATTACTAAGACCAGCCATCCTTGCCTAATGCCTCATTTTAAGAGGAATCCTTTCACCATTTCACAATTACTATGACGTGTGCTGTAGGATTTTTAAAGATATCTTTATCAGGTTATGGGATTTTCCTTAATACCAATGGATATTGAATATTTTGAGTAGTTTTCATGCATCAGTTGAGATGAATAAACTTTTCCTCCTTCAGTATCTTTAATGGGTCCATATTTCTTCTGGTCAAACATTTGTTTTTTAACGTCCGTAAATGTCTTTTGAGATACATTTCTTCTCAGGCTTCCTTTCCAGGTCTCCCTCTTTTCCCATTCATTAAGCTGGTCTTCTAGAATTTCCTCCTTCATTCCTCTCTTTTCTAGCTCCAGCTTTTTGTAAGTTTCCTAAGATATCAAAGGTTGGGGGATGATGACTGGGTTTGCAGACACCCCATCTTTTCACAGTTGGTTCCCCTTCACAGGCAGGTTTCAATCCTAATTAAAGCACATTAGAAGATAGGTGGCTTGGGTTCCAGTTCTGTCTATGTTCAATGCACCAAGACAGGTTTCTTAGTACCTGCCTTTCAGTCTCATAAATAAAATCCCTGTCCTGCCGACTTCCAGGACTGCTTGGAAACGCAGATCAGTAAATGTAGTAGAACTACTCTGCAAACTATTCACAGTAAGAGGTTGTTCTTGTTACTAAGAGTGTTAGATGTAGTGTGAGATAACAGATACAAGTATATCTCAGAGACATTGCAGGTTTATTTCCGGACCACCACAATACAGTGAATATCACAATAAAGCAACTCAAATTAGTGTTTTGGTTTCCCGGTGCATATAAAAGTCATGTTTATGCTATACTGAAATCTATTTAAAGTGTGCAATAGCTTTAGGTCTGAAAAGAACAATGTACATACCTCAGTTAAGAAATACTTCATGGTTGAAAAATGCTAACCCTCATCCGAAGCTTCAGGGAGTCATAACACTGATCACAGATCACCATAACAAATATAATAATGAAAAAGTCTGAAATATTATGAGAATTACCAAAATATGACAGAGACACCAAGTGAGCTCTTGGAAAAATGGTGCCAATAGACTTGCTGGTGCAGAGTTGCCACAAATCTTCAATTTTTAAAAAATGCAGTATCTGCCAAGCGATGCAGAAGGACTTATGTCTGTATAGCTTGGATTTTGAAGCTAATGAAACTCTAAACCTACTCCCAATCAGCACTGTGACCTTGCACGTGTTAATCTTTCTAAACCTGTCTCCATCCAGCTTGCAGGTGAGATATGCAAGCACTTAATGCACGGTAAGAGCTCAGTGAATTGAGCTATCATGAAAATAGATAATGCACATGTAGACAGTCTGAAAAACATAAAATACTCCCAAAATGGAAGCAGTAAACCGTGGTTCAGGCGCAGAAGGCCGTAAAGCCAGTTACCCAACACCAGTAACAGCACCCACGTACTTAGGAGGTAGGGTGAGGATGGGGAGCTGCAGAGAAAAAAACTCAAATCCGCACTGTCGGACTTCCATGGAGAGCCAAGCTGTTCCTAAGATCCCTAACTGGTGAGAAATGCCAGAACTCCCAAGGAACGGACACCGCAGGAGGGTTACAGGTTCCACTTGCAGTACCAGTTCTACTTTGCGGGAAGACGCTGCGCACCAGCCGCAGTCCGGCCATCGGGGTGGGGGCGGGGCTAAACAGTGCGTTTCCCACTGCAGTCGCTAGGAGGCGCGCGTCTTGCACAGCGCCCAGTACGAGCCCTCCTTTGCGCACGCGTGATTCCCTTCTTCCAGCGTTCCCGCCCCCACACCAGTTGCGCTCACGCGACGCGTTCCAGGCATTCTCTGACGTAGCGCGCGGCGGCTGGGAGCCGAGCGGAAGTCCTGTGCGGTTACTGCAAGAGGAGGGCTGGGCTAAGAGCGGAAAAGTGGAGCGGGAAGTGCGACTGACCGTCCCTGGCTCTGGCGGAGCAGGAAAGAAAAAGCTCGCCCGGCAGGGTGTGGCCTCGGGAGGCGGAGGGCGCTGCGATTGGCCCTCGGCTGTGGCGACCGTGACGATTGGTCCCTGCTTGCAGGGAGAGGTGAGAGGGTATCGGCGGTTGGAATTCAAAAGTAGCGGGTGTGGCGACAGGCTGGTGTCGCCGGAGCCAGGAGCGCGCGTGGTCTGCGTCGCAAGCGGGCTAGAGAACGCGGATCCCGGGATCCCCAGTGCCCTGTCTCTCCTCCATTGCGTTTTCCTGGCGGTGTGGCACGCAGCTGGACATGGAGCTGCAGGTGAGTAGAAGCCGGAGCTGTCCTCCTGCCCCGGGGTGCGGGGACGACGGACGGCCGCCTCCGCAGCTGATAAGCCCCCGACTCCCGGCCGGCCCTGGGTCCTGCCTGGATGGAGGGTGAGGGACCGTGCGCCCCGGCGCAGGAGAAAGGGATGCGGGAGGGGGAGCGGAGAAAGCAGGGAGCAGCCCCAGCAGATCGGAGGGCACACCTGCCATCCTTTTCCCAGCTTCAGGGAGCCCTCTGCGCTCACTCATTTCTCTAGGATTTCCCATTTCAGATTCTCAGGTTTGTCTGACACGTATCCGTCTTTCCTTTCCTACCCACGATTTCAGTGTCTGATTGAGAAGGGAGGGAGCTGAGATGACCTCTACCTTTGGAGAAATGCTGTCTGAGGCCAAATCCCAGCCAACGTCCTTTTGTCCCCTCTCTCCTCGTTGCTGCCGCTTCTAGGGTGTAGGAAGGAGCGAGAGAATGAGGTTATCTGAACTGAACTCCTCATCCTCTCTCCTTCCCCAGGTTTTGCAGAGATCTCTGCCCAGTGGGAATGGTTGACTTAGTTTCTTCTCTCATCAGTGCCCTGCTGCACTCCACAACTATCTTTAACCTCCCCTTTTTGAAAGAGGTGTGTGACGGCGTATTGACTTCTGGTGCTCGAAAACCTGCTTAGATCCTTGTTTACTAGTATTTCACATTCAGATTTGCCAAGCGTCGAGTGTTGACTCCATGTCTTTGTATCCTGACAACCAAAAAGAGCAGTAGGATGTGATAGTGAAAAGTAGTAGAAGCCTTTTCACATTTACTCACCAAATAATTTACTGAGCACCTACTATGTGCTACACACAGTTGTAGCTACTTGGGGTACAGCAATGAAGGAGACAGAAATCTCTCATTCTATGAGAGATAGACTATGTAATAAGCAAATAATGTAACTATTAGAAGATGATAAGTGCTATGGAGAAAAGGAAAAATTCAAGCAGATTAAGAGGGAGGAAGAAAGGGAGGCCAACTGGCAGGAGAGGGTATTAAATAGGGGAGTCTTAGTAAACTCTTTTAAGAAGGTGGTAGTTGAATGAAGACTTGAAGATGAGGGAGATAGCAAGTGGATATTGAAGGAAGAGCATTCCAAGCAGAGAGAATCTACTAGAGCAAAGTGTCCCTAATTGTATAGCTAAACTGGTGAGCAAGGGGGAAAGTTGTGGAAAGGGAAGTCAGATAATAGAGTGTAGGAATTGTTGGTCCCATTTCTTCTTGTGGGGACATTGTGAGGACTTTGACTTTTACTCTTAATCAAATGAGGAATCATTGGATGGTTTTAAGCAAAAAAAGAGACAAGATTTGTCTTACATTTTAAGAGGATCATTCTAGCTGCTGCATTGAAATTAGACTGTAAGGGGGTAAGGATAGAAACAAGGAGAGTTCTTAGGAATACATTTATTAGCAGGTTTTCTCAACTTTTGCCCTCTTGACATTTATTGTGGGGGTGACCTCTGCATTGTCTGGTATTTAGCAGTATTCTTGGCCTTTACCCACTAGATGCTGGTAGTAACCCTCACCTAATCATAACAACCAAAATGTCTTTGGATAGACATTGTTCAGTGTCCCCTGAGGAGTAAAATCACTCCCAGCTGAACCAGTGGAGTATGATATCTAGGTGAGAGATGATGGTGACTTGGACAAGGGTAGTAGCAGTGGAAACAGTAACAAGGGGTCAGATTCTGGATATATTTTGAAGATAGAATCAGCCATGCTTTGCTGACATTAGATGAAGTGAGTAAAAGAATGAGAGGGCTTTGGGTTTTTTGCCTTGAGCAATTGAAACATGGGTTATATCAACTGAGACAGAGAAAGCTGCAAGAGGAGCAAGTTTGAAAGGGGTTTGGACATCAGGAAGTCACTTTAGATGTGTTAAGTTTGAATGTTTATTAGATTTCCAAGTGGAGATATTGAGAAGGCAGTTCAATATAGGTTGAGGAGTGAGGTCCAGGCTTTAGATATAAATTTAGGAGTTGTCAGTGTATGGATGGTATTTAAAGCCATGGGAGTGCACAGGCGTGTGGATAGAGACCATAAAGACCACTGATAAGAGTTTGGAGAGATGAGGACCTAACCATGAAATAGGAAAACCAAGAGAGGATGGTCTATAAGCTAAATGAAGAAAGCTTATTAAGGAAAGAGTGATCAGTTGTATCAAATGCTGCTGATGGGTCAAGAAACATGAAGATGAAGAATTGACTTAGCAACACAAGGTTACCTGTATCCTTTAGGAGAACACTTCTGGTAGAATGGTGGGAGTGAAAGCATGATTGGGATGGGTTTATGAGAGAAATTGGACACAGTGAATACTATATAGAGAACACTTTTGAAGAGCTTTGCTGCAAACGACATCAAAGAAAAAAGGTAGTACTTGGCAGGGAAAGCAGAATCAAGAAACTCTTTTAGTCTAGAAGAAATGATAACGTGTAGTGAACTGATAGGAATGATCCAGTAGAGAGTGAAAAGGTGACAATGTAGAGGAGAGAAGGAAAGATTGCCAGAGTGCTGTTGCCAAGCAGGTGAAGGGGTGGGACCTGATGCCCATGAGGAAGGATTGTCTTAGGAGCAGGGCATCCATCTCTGATCTTGTGAAGTGAGTGTAGGTGGAGTTAGATGAGTATTTGTTTTATATAAGGTTTAAGTGCTAATGCTTCTCATCGTAGAAAGTTGCGAGTCATCATGTTTAACTTTATAGATGGGAGAAAAATAAACGCTATCCTGAGTAAGCAAATAAACAAACCTTTAATACATTTTCTGAAACCACAGAAATTTCGGGGAGATGGGCCTTTAGTAGATCCAGTCTGTAGTGTAGAGAGAACAAAGAGCATGGCTTATAAAAAAATTTAGTGTTTGACCTTGGAATACTTAAAGAAAAACTTTGTTTTCAGACTATCTTTGGTTAAACTAAATTAAAATCAGCATTCTTTGTCCACATTTCTACAGGTGGCAGGAAAAAAATGCCACCACCTTTTTTTTCCTTTTTATTTCTAGAGAAGCTAATTGTTTGGATATATCAGTTTGTTTTAGTATTCCCCAGCTGGTGGACATTCAGTTTCATTCCTTCTAAAATGTATTGAGTCTACCATGTATCTCATAACCTAAGGAAAGACAATAAACTAAAAAAAAAAAAACTGTCAAGTTGTTTTAGAGTTTTCTCTATAATGAGACTCTGTGAACATCCTTGACTGTATTTCGTTGTATCACAGGTAGCTCAGAGGCACTTTCCCAAAGCTGAACTTAGCATCTCTTGAAAACCAGCCTTTCAGGTATTCTCAGATCCCTCTGTATTATTTCTTACAATTGCATGTAAATCTATAGAGATTTTAAAATGAAAAGCTTTAAAAAACGAAAGAAAGCAAAACCAGCCCTTTCTCTTGTGATCTTGGTTGTTGGAACCACGACAGGCATCTTGGAGTCAGCCTGGACTCTGCATTTCACGCACTGCCTGCCCTCTACCTCCCATTCCCAAACTAGCTCCTAATTATGTCTGTACTTGGTTTTGAGTAATCCAGACCCCATTACTTGCCCTCACAGATGGATTATTACTTAACCCTGAAGCTCCTAGTACAGCCTCCTGCACTTGAGCTCCATGAGAACTAAGCTCTAATGTCCCAATGCATCATTTATATCTAATGAACTAGCTTCTCTCTTATGCATCTAAGAATGGTAGGAGGTATATAATTCCTTGGGAGAATTGGGAAAGTGGATCATTTTCTGTAGAGCTTGATTCTTTTACGGTACCCCAGTATGGAAAGGCTGCCCTAGAAAGTAAGCTCTGGTAAGGCAGGGACTTCATGTTCGTTATTCTAGCCCAAGCACCTAGAACAACATCTGGTTGTTCTAGGGCCATCTTTCAACAAATCTTAGCGCAAATCCTTGTTGAATGAATGAATGAATGACGTAGTTTCTCTGCCTGTGATGCTCCTCGTCTTCTACTTCCATTCATTCCCCACATTGTTCAGTTTGCTTCTTCAGTACAAATCTAATCATATTATTTTCTTCACAAAAATCATCAGGGTGTGTCTTGCCTTTAGTAAACCCTAGACCCTGATTATGGCATACCGACTGCCGCAATCTTTTCCCTTCTGCCTTTGTTCTCATTTCCCAACTTTCTATACATATCCCATGCATTCAGCTGAACAGACCAGTTTGTTCTTCCATGCACCCCTCCTTGCTTTCTGCCCCAAACACTCTTCCTTGTCTCATGCTCAAGTTAACCCTTTCTCATCCTCAAGACTCTGCCTAAAAAGACTTTTTAGTTGGGGGGACTTGGTGATTGGGGGAGTCTAGTAAACATAATGTTCCTCATGTAATTGTAGATTAATGATACCAAAAAAAAAGACTTTTTAGACATGTTCTTCGACACTTTCCCCATCTGAATTAAATGCCCACCTTCTCCTCTGAGCACCTTTCATGATAATACCACTCAAAAAAGTTATAATAATCTGTTTAACTCCTTCTCTTCCCCACTGACCCATGAGCCTCTAGGGCAGGGATCATGTCATTACTTACAAACCCAGATCATTTCTGGCACATTTCAAGCACTTAGTAAATATTGAGTGAATAAAGTAAGCTGAAGGGCAAAGAAAGACCGGCCTTGGAATTTAAAGTTACCTGTAGTGAAAATCAGAAGTTGATACATACATGGTGCTTTACTAATGATGGGATAGGAGTAGGGTGACCACTGCTCCCAGTTTGCATAAGAAGGACCTGGTTTTAGCATTTAAAGTTCTGTGTCTCAAGAAACCCATCAGTCCTGGGCAAATGGTTGGTCACTCTTCATAGGTCACCCTTGATAGGTGGGCATAATCCCCGGGCACCAATTGCGCTACTTAGAGGAGAGGATCTCCCTTTCCCACAGCCCCTTCTCATATCTGTACTTTGGTGGTCTTCAAACTGGTCATGCTGCTTCCTAGTCTTCCTCACACAAGTCAGCCTATACAACTCATTGTTATTCTTTACAATAGGCTCTTTAGTCTATTTTTTACACATCTGATCAGAAACTGTATCTGGCTTTCCACGTGTGCAGGGTTAAAGCTAAACTGCTCCTTTGCTCAGCATCAAATCTCTACAAGATAGTGAAGTCTAGCAGTTTAAAACATGGCTTCCAGAACCAGACTGTCTAGATTTTAACCGTGGCTCTGCCTTTTGCTTGCTGATGACCTCTCATCAGCTGTTTTTACCTCTCAGTGCCTTCCTTCCCTCATCTGCAAAGTGAGGCTAATACTAGCACCTCCTTCAGTGGACTGCTGTGAGGATTAAGTTGATACAGATAAAGCATTTAAAACAGTTCCTAATAAATATTACCTGCCCTCCCACCCAATCTTCAGCTTTGTCTATCATTCAGTCTCCCTTATTTATGATTCTATAGTCCAGCTGAAAGGGCTTTTGGGTTTCCCAGCCACACCACATGCATGTTTGAGGTTTTTTCCTTCTAAAAGCAGTGTCCATTTCAGTCTGCTTATTTAAGACTACCCTTGAGGTTAGCTGATGTCCAATGTCCGTCCAGCTTTTCCCATAGAAATTGCTCCACTTTTGCACTATGACACATTTCTTTCTGTGCTTTCTGGCTGGTACTTAATCTGTGAGCTCCAGTTTGTGGCACAAAATGTACTCAGTTGATGCTTGTTGGTGGTAGTGTTAAGAATTAGGCTAGGGGGCCAAGAAGGGGAATTCGTGGGACAGTTGGGCTCTAGGGTGTTGTCTTAATAGTCTGGTCTCTCTTTTCCCAGGAGAGGTCCCCCTTGCTAGAAGTAAAGGGGAACAGAGAGCTGAAGAGACCCCTGGTCAAGGTCCCTTCCCAGTTGCCTCTTCCTGGAAGCAGGTTTAAGAGGGGGACTAATCAGATGGAGGATGCCTTGGAGCCAGAGAAGGTGAGCTGGATTTTGGAAAGCTGTATGTGTGTGTATATAAAAGAGAGGGAGAGAGAGTGTGTGTGTGAACCAATCATGGAGGGTAACTATGGACGCCATTCTTGTTTTTCCAGAAAAGGGTACGAGGCCTGGGCACAGCGACCAAAATTGACACATCCCACCCCAAAGCACCAGTTCTCACCACAGTGCCACAGACACGAGGCCAGACTGCAGGTGGGCTCTAGGGGTGGACAGAGACTAAGAGCATGGAAGCCCAGTGCTCTTCAACTCACTTATTTTCTTGCAATTTTATCTTATTTTGAATAAGTAAGAAATTTCACTTGCTTCAGAATTCCAAAGGCATGAAAGTTGTTCTGCAGTGAAGTCTCCCTCCCACCCCTGTTTCACGGCCACTTAGTTCCCCTCCCCAGGGGCATCTGGATGTCCTTCCAGAGATATTCTGTGGGTATTCAAGCAGACGTGGACATGTTCTCCAACACTGTTTTACATAAATGGTAGCATACTTTGTGTGTGCTCTGCCCCTTTTGCTCTTTTTGCTTATTTTTGCTTATCTTGGTCCAACTTATTTATTAGTATGTTGAATAATTTACAGTCCTGGGAAGGGTATCTTTAGGAGCTGGCCAGACTTAGGTGAAGAGGGAAGTTATCTTATTTGTAATCCCCAGAAAAAGCAACCCTCTGCCCCTGCCCAACCAAAGTACATGCCATTCTGAGAGTGATCATCCTTTTTCCTCTCTCCCATCTGCTGACAGCTCCAAAAGGTCCCAAGAAAATAGGACCCCGATGTTCCACAGCTATTGCTACAGGTAATAGTGCTTAAGAGCTTGGGCTGAGAAGAGATTTGGGATATGTGTGAAGGGAGAATAATGGAGGTAGAGGGACACTGGTGCTATAATTACTTATGTCAACTCCCCAATTCTCTAGTGTTGAAGAATCAGAAGCCAGGCCCTGCTCTTCCTGCCCAGAAGCCTGGCAGTAGGTGACAAACATATCCTTTGGGTGAGAGGATGGGATAGGGAAGAGGAGGTGGTGAGTACCCAGAAAAATCCATTTTGTCTCTTCCCCATCTGGAGGGGAAGGAGATGTAGTATCAGATGTGGAGGCTCTAAAGGCTAGGGAGGAGAGAGAGGGCACCAAGACTTCCCTGACCTTTGTCCATTCTGTGCCCATCTTAGCAGCAGCTGCTCCTCCCATGCTGGGAGGGAAAAAACCAACCAAACGTCCAGCCTGGGACTTAAAGGGTCGGTTATGTGACCTAAATGCAGAGCTGAAATGCTGCCATGAGAAGACTCAGATGTTGGGCCAGGAGAACCAACAGCTGTGGAGCCAGCTTAGGGAGGCCCAGCAACAGGCCACAGCCCTGGGGGCAGAGCGCAGGACACTGCAAGAGGAGTTGACCAGGGTGCGGGCCCAGGCGGAACAGGACCACCAGGAACTGGAGACCCTGCGTGCCCATGTCCTAGAGCTGGAAGAGCAGCTGGGCACGCAGCAGGGCTTGGTGCGAGAGCTCCAGAAAGAACAGCTGGGATTGCAGGAGGAGCAGCGAGGCCTGGCCACCCGGCTAGAGGAGCAAGAGGTAAGGGCCACCTCTCCAAACGCTGACTCTCCTTTCCAGGTGACCCTGAAGTCACTTTCGGCTTAGAATCTGTGACCACCTCTCTCCAGCAGTTCACCTCTGTCCTCTACACTTTTCCTCCCCAGCCCACCCCTGCCTCTGTCTTTGCGCCCCACTTCTCCCTATCCTTTAGTCTGTTTTCATAGCTTGCCTCTGGATCTGTGTTTCCCGTAGTCCTCCATTCCCCTCTTCCTTTCCTGATCAAAAACCCCCCTGTCATTCTCTCTCCCTCTTATGTTCATTTGACTCCTTGGTGAGCACCAACTAGATGGATTACTTAGGGTCTCTCAAGTGGCTCAATCCTTACTTCAGGGCATTTTGCATATGCGTTTCCCTCTTTGTAGAACGTTCTGTACTCTATCCTCCTCTTGGTTTCCTCCTGTACTTTTGGGTATCAGCCTAGATATCTTCCTTGTGCCCCTTCTGGGTATTCCCATAGGGCTCTGTTCATGTGTCATGATTCCTATTTTCTTCTAGCTTTCTTTACCAGACGATGAAGTCCTGGGGTGCAGAGACCACCCTGCCTCCACCACCCACCCCATCATGACTCGTCCTTATTCTTGGTTACATCTCACTCTCTGTGTCTGTTCTGTTCCGGACAGAGGAAGCTGCAGGCATCAGAATCAGCTCTGTCAGAGAGCCAAGCAGAGGTGGCATCTTTGCGCTGTGAGGCTGCAGCCCAGGTAGCCTTACTGGGTGAGCAGGGAGAACGTCTCCATGGGCTAGAGATGGAGCGCCGGCGACTACACAACCAGCTACAGGAACTCAAAGGCAACATCCGTGTGTTCTGCCGGGTCCGCCCTGTTCTTCCAGGGGAGCCCACTCCACCCTCTGGCTTCCTCCTGTTTCCCTTGGGCCATGGTGGGCCCTCTGATCCTCCAACCCGCCTCAGCCTCTCCCGGTCTGATGAGCGTCGTGGGACCCTGAGTGGGGCACCAGCCCCCACTACCCGCCATGACTTCTCCTTTGACCGGGTATTCCCACCAGGGAGTGGACAGGACAAAGTGTTTGAGGAGATTGCAATGCTTGTCCAGTCAGCCCTGGATGGTTACCCAGTATGCATCTTTGCCTATGGCCAGACAGGCAGCGGCAAGACCTTCACAATGGAGGGTGGGCCTGGGGGAGACCCCCAGGTGGCGGGGCTGATCCCTCGGGCCCTGCGGCACCTCTTCTCTGTGGCCCAGGAGCTGGGCTGCCAGGGCTGGACCTACCATTTTGTGGCAAGCTATGTGGAGATCTACAATGAGACTGTCAGAGACCTGCTGGCCACTGGGACCCGGAAGGGCCAGGGGGGTGAGTGTGAGATTCGCCGCGCAGGACCAGGGAGCGAGGAGCTTACTGTCACCAATGCCCGCTATGTACCTGTCTCCTGCGAGAAAGAGGTAAGGACTGAGGGGCACTGGTACTGGGAAGTGAGGGGGAGCGGGGAGGGTGACACAGATGGACGTGGATGGAGAATTGAGCAGGCAGGGTAAGCTGTGAGGCCAGATGGCTACACCGGTCTTGGCTGGTGGATGGTAAGGTGGATCTGAGAACTGGGGAGGAGTGGTGCATCTGCACCAAGGAATAGGGGAGAGACCGTAGGCCCCCTGCCTGAAGCACGCTCAGGTCTCAATTCCTACTGCTCTCCCTGCTCAGTTCACTCTAGCCATGCTACCTTCTGGCTGTTACTTGGCCCATTAGTCAGTCTTGTATCAGGGACTTTGCATTTGCTATCTCCTTTGCATGAATATTCCTCTCCTGAAATAGCTTGCTTCCTCACTACCTTAAGATTTGAAAGCAGTGAGGCCAACCCTGGCCATCCAGTCTAAAATTCCTTCACCCCATTTTCACAAACTCCATATTTTTCTGTTTTATTTTAATCTTTATACTGTCAGACCTACTATGCATGTTATTTATTTTGTCTTCTCACTGGCTAGAAAGAAAGCTCCAAGAGGGCAGGTGCTGACTTGTTCATTGCCATACCTGACACTAGTGCATGACTTGCTGCCTGTCTTTGCCCTTTGCTCTTCCCCAACCCCAGGTGGAGGCGCTGCTCCATCTGGCCCGCCAGAACCGGGCTGTGGCCCGCACAGCTCAGAATGAGCGGTCATCACGCAGTCACAGTGTGTTCCAGCTGCGGATCTCTGGGGAGCATGCTGGGCGAGGCCTGCAGTGTGGGGCCCCCCTCAGTCTTGTGGACCTAGCTGGGAGTGAGCGGCTAGACCCTGGCTTAGCCCTCGGCCCTGGAGAGCGGGAACGCCTTCGGGAAACACAGGCCATTAACAGCAGCCTATCCACGCTGGGGCTGGTCTTCATGGCATTGAGCAACAAGGTGGGAATGGGTCTGGGGGCACGGGGGCCTGGGGATAGGTTGGGGTTGGCCAACCTGAGCCGTGTCCTATGTTAATCACCTATCTGCCTCAACCGTCTAGGAGTCTCATGTGCCTTACCGCAATAGCAAGCTCACCTACCTGCTGCAGAACTCTCTGGGAGGCAGTGCTAAGATGTGAGTGAAAGGGACAGGTAGAAGGGGGTCAATGGGAACTGTGGTGCTGGGGTCAGGGATGCAAAAGGGGAAACAATGGAGACCTGGTCCAGGCTCAGCCCAACCACTGATGCTGGGGTTTGGCCCCTTCTCCTCTCTCTACAGGCTCATGTTTGTGAATATTTCACCCCTAGAAGAGAACGTCTCTGAGTCCCTCAACTCCCTACGGTTTGCCTCTAAGGTGCAGTTACTACCAAGCCCCAGGCCCTGTCAGGACCCCTGGGTTGTTTAGATTTCTCCACCCCAACTCCTTTAGGCCAGGGGGTACATTCATCCTGAAAGGATTCACTTTTGCCAGACATCTGGGGCACTACCCATTTGGATCCATCTGTAACTGCTGGCTTTGGGGTTTTTTTTTTAAGTGTTTAAAAATAGGTAGTTTAAAAGATCAAAACCATGTAAAAGCTATACACAACAAATGAGGTTTGATACCACCCCTGTCTGCCCATCATTCCCACCTACCTAGTAGAGGTAGTCATTTTATCATATATCATTCTACTTAGCCTTCCAATGTTTCATTTTGCAAATATAGGCAATATGCATGTGCATATTCTTATATAAAAGATTTCTCTCTCTCTCTCTCTCTCTCTCTCTCTTTCTCTCTCTCACATATGTGTTCTGCACTTTGTTTTGATTAACAAGACAGCCCCAAGATGACTCTCAGCACACAGAGATCATCCCATTACTTTTACATCTGCCTAAGACTCCATGTGGATGCACCAAACTTTATCCACCAGTTCCCTCTACTGGACACTTGGATTGTTTCCACCTTTTTTCTATTACAAACAATGCCATGTTAACTATCTTGTGCATGTTTTTTATTTGTTTAGTTATATCTATGTAGGGAGAGATTCCTTCAGTGGGTTGCTGGACCAAAGGAGACTTACATATTTTTCAGTCCATTCCAACGTGTGTGAATTCAGGCTCCAAAGCCCACTTAAACATTAAGTGGAGAGAGGGCCGTGGCCATGAATCTCTAGGAGACTTATGCTTCCTCCAGTGGAGTTGAGTAGAGACTTTCTTTATGATCTGCCTCTGGAGGGTAATTTTGTCTCAGGGAACTCCTCTTCCTGAGGGAATAACCCTACAATGGATTCTGGCTTTATGCAGGGTGTGCCCTTGTGCTGTACTTGGGTTCCCCCACAACAAGCATTGGTTGCTGCTGTGAAAGTAGTCTGCCTTTAACACCTTGCCCTGGTCTTCTGCTTTGATCAGGATTTTCTTTGTTATCTTGCAAGTTCAATCAGTTATATCAACATCATTATCACCCAATAACATGAGCTATTTAATATCCTCTAATACCCAGTTTACATTATTAAGTTTCACCTGATTATCTTAGAAACATCTTTTATATATTAGGTTTGTTCCAGTCAGGATTGAAGCAAGGGCTACTTGTTTTATTTGGTTGAAATGTTTCTTAAATTTCTTTCAACCTAAAATAGCCCTACCTCCTTTTATGGCATTTATTTATTGAAGAAATAGGGTCATTGTCTAATAGAAGATTACCCATATTCTGGGTTTTGGTTAATGGTTTCCAGTTTCTTCCATAAATTTTGTTATTATCTAGTAGTAGATTTAGGGGCTTGATTAGATTTGAATCAGGTTCAAATTTCTTGACAAGAAAACTTACGTGATGCAGCATACTTTCTATTGCATCATATCAGGAGGCATGATATAAAAATTGATCATTGGATTTGGGTATTCTCAGCCTGATCTATCCATTAAAAAACTCCCTCTTAGAATTGTCCACTTGCTGATTTTTATCAATTATCATTCCTAGATCTGTTATTTCATCAGGGAGTTTTAAAATGGTAATTTTTCTAGTTTTCTCAATACTGTATTTATTAGTCACTATTCTTCTATAAAGAATTTCTCCTTCCCATCATCCACATAGGAAAAGCAGGATAAATGCTGGACGCCTTAGCAGTTTTCAGTAGTATAAGTTAATATCCTGGCAACTTGCAAAGGTGAACGAGTTTTATCATTTTACCGATGGCTTATGTATTTGTTATATGTCCTTTGCAGTCATTATTATTCTGATTCTCAAATTGCCCAGTCTCTGGCCAATGGGAGCTCCTTCAGGTTGGCTCCTGTATCCTTTAGAAAGGACCCTAGTAGTCTTTAGATTCATCTTGTACATTTTCTGCCCTACACTTGGAATCAATCGTTTCCTAGGAGCTTTGGTTTTGCTGTTAATGTTTTATCTATCTTATGAATGTTGTTAATGTTTTAACCATTGTAGTAAGTGGTGGGAGGGCTCTAGTCCACAGTATTGCTGGAATGGAAGCTTGATCTCTTTCTGCTCATGTGTGGGGCAGAAAGTCATTCCTTCTTATGCCTTTTCCCCTCCTCCAGACCTAGTATGCCTAGAAGTAACCATAACTGAAACCAGGAGGAACCCACCTTCAGAGCCCTTGTTACAGTATTCTCTGAGTGCAGCCTTAATATTGGAGGTGGGAGGCGATCTTGGAGAAAACCATTCTTTTGGGTACTCTGAAAACTTTTCCTGTCTTAACTCTGTCCACAGGTGAACCAGTGTGTTATTGGTACTGCCCAGGCCAACAAGAAATGAAGACAGATCCAGATCCTCGTGGGTGTGTTGTGGTGTAGGGGTAGGGAGGCTGAGGGATGCTCTAGTAGGATTGGGGGGGGGTGATGTTACCTGGGCCTATCAAATAAAGAATTTTTTTTAAAAAATAAAGGTTTTATTGCAGTTGCCCAAGGAGGGAGGTATTTTTCATATCTGTAGAGATGGGAACTGTGAATCTGTTCACTCTGCCGTCCCCTGGAGTCTGGATGGCTTTATCCAACCGCTCCCCCCACTCCCGTGTCCCTGCCCCTCTTCCATATCTGGGCAGAGTGCCCGCTATCAAACTACAGCCCTTCCACTGTCACTAGCTATATCCCCTGGCCACAGGCCACCCCAGGCCTGGGCAGGAACCCTCTCGTAGGTGCGGGAAGGTGGGAAGCCGCAGCTCGCGCACCCTCCCACAAAGTGGCTCTTTTCTCCCGCCCTTTCCCTGCCTTCGCATTCGAACCGCCAGGGCTGGCCCCGCCCGCTGCCCATTGGCTAGCTCTCAGCGGCATTACCGCTTCTCTACTAGCTCTGTAGGCCTTTGTACCCGCCCTGCAAGCGCCGGGCGGGACGCACGCACGCCGACTCCCTCGCGCCAACTGCTAACGGCCACCGCCCCAAAAGGGCGGGGTTCAGTCGTCCTAGGTGCCGCGCGCGAGAGGGGTCACGCGTGCGCAGAAGCGTGGCGGTGTCGGGGGGGAACAACTTGTCAGGGAGGGCGGGGCAAAGGTGGGAGGAGGGCGTGACGGGGGCAATGGGAAGGGTGAGTGAGGGCGGGGTCATGAACTGGGGCCGCAGGGCGGGACTTGGAGTGACCATAAGGGGTTGAGGGGACACTTAACGAATGTGGCATGGGGCGGGGCCCAGTCCGGAGGCGGGCTGCCGGGAGGGGGGATTCCTTCTTGCCCCGAGGGTGGGTCTCCCTTCGGAGGAAGGGGCTGCGGGGATTCCCTCTTCCTCCTGGTCAGACCGTGCGTCCGCCTCGGCCGCGGAGAGGCCGCCGCTTGTTGGGCACCTTCCAGGCCTGTCGGAGGTGAGGGAGGTGGGGTGAGGTGGTGCCCGGCTCCTCCTCCCCCCCGTCCTCCCCTCCCACCATCCTCCCCCCGAGCCGGTTTGTCCCTCCCCTCCGCTCCCCTCTCCTCCCCTCCTTCCCCCCACCGCCTCCTCCTGCCGCTGCCGCTGCTTTGGCTGCTGCGTCATACGCCCCAGAGCCGCCGGGACAGAGGGGCTGGGCCTGGGAACCCCCCGGCCTCTGCCTGCACGCCTTCCGACGCCCAGACGTGCCCTCCCCGCCCTGGGGGTTCGCCTCGGTCTCCCACGTCTGCCTCTGCCCGGCTTGCGGCGGCCCCAGCTGTCACCGGTAAGGAGGCGGCGGGAAGCGGCTGTGGTGGGGGGGCAGGGAGCTGGGGGTCGGCGCGCAGGGCGCAGGCAGGAGAGCCTCGTCGCCCTGGCATCGATTTGGGCAGGGCCGACTCAAGTACCTCCTCGGACTCGCCGTCTTGGGGAGTAGAACCGGGACTGGGACACGCCCCCCTCCCGGGGTACTCAGGGAAGTTATCTAACCCGGGGGCAGGGAGCCCCGTATTTGAGGGTGACCTGACATAACCTGGCAACAGGATGATTGTTCTGAATGAGGAGACACGCGGGCCTGAGAAGGCAGCCGTTTCTATTCTGGAAAACATGCCCAGAAAAGCTCCCAAGACACATCTCTAGGTAACAGAGCACCCCCAATTATGATACCTCTAAACAGTAGGTGACAGAAGAAACTGAGTGGTAACCTTTGCTTCTGCAACTACCATTTCTGCTAAAATCACAAGGCCAGGATGTAATATCCCAAGGGAGCTCTGGATACTGGCAAACTAGAGAACTAGGTTGAAGGGGGTGGAGGGGTGTTAGAAGAGAGCCAGTCACTAGAATGGGAAGAGCTGGAGTCAAGAAGTTCAAAAGGGTGCCATGTGGTTTCCTGTCCAGGCAGCTCAGGGATTTGGAGACGGGGGTGCAGCTGCTTGACTCCTTAACAGAAAAATAGGCAAAGAAAATGGAGATGATTTCTCAGCATTCATAACTTTCTCCCATCCCACTTCTGGCTAGGCCCCCCCAGGATGCAATGGCACAGTCCCCCCGGCTGAGCCGCTCTGGTGCTCCCCCCCTTTGGGACCCAACTTCCCCTGCTCCCACCTCAGGCCCCAGGCCCCGGCTTTGGGAAGGTCAAGATGTGCTGGCCAGATGGACAGATGGGCTGCTATACTTGGGGACCATCAAGAAGGTAAGACCTTTGACCTCTGTCCTGTTGCCTTTTCCCCATTCCCCTTATCTAGTTTTGATTCTATTACATCCTCTGTACTCACCCATTCCAGGTGGACAGTGCTCGGGAGGTGTGTCTGGTCCAGTTTGAGGATGATTCTCAGTTTCTGGTTCTATGGAAAGACATTAGCCCTGGTGAGACTCAGAGTCCTGAGAAGAATGCACCTCCTATGAAAAATAGAAACCTGGCTTGGGGGACAGAAAGGGACTTCAGGAGAAGCCCCCTGACACTGTGTTCCCTCACAGCTGCCCTCCCTGGGGAGGAACTCCTCTGCTGTGTCTGTCGCTCTGAGACTGTGGTCCCTGGGAACCGGCTGGTCAGCTGTGAGAAATGTCGCCATGGTGAGAGGGCAAGACACCAGAATGGTCGTATTTGGCCCTGGGCTTTCCAGGTTGCCTCTGACCCTTCCCTCTAGCACTGGTCCTTAGGCCACCTGCTCTGGCCAGTCTTCTCAACCCTGTAACCTTTCTCCTTTCCAGCACAGAGGCAGCATGAAATGGGGCTGTGTGAGCTTTGCAGGTAGAGGGCAGTTCAAATATGCCCTTTTCTAACCATATGACCTTGGGCAAGTTCCTAACTTCTAGGAGGCTCAGTTTCCTTACTTGTAAAATAAGGGTAATACAGCCACCCCAGCAGGACTGTGGTCAAGCATTCAATGACAAGCATAAGATTCTTCCTATCCCCGTACTTAGCACACACAAATATGCAGTGTGGTAAGTGGTCTGTCATCAATATTATTATTCAGCTTATCACCAGGACTGCCATGTTCCAAGGGCCCCAGCCCCTGGAGAAGGAGAAGGCACATCCTGGGTCTGCCGTCAGTGCATCTTTGCCATCGCCACCAAGGTAATGGCATCTTCCTGTGAGAACCTCTCACCCACAGCCTCTCCCAAGCCTCTCCATTCCCCACCCCTCTGAAGAAGGCTGCCTGTTCTGTCTCCCCAGAGAGGCGGTGCACTGAAGAAGGGCCCTTATGCTCGGGCCATGCTGGGCATGAAGCTCTCCCTGCCGTATGGACTAAAGGGCCTGGACTGGGACGCTGGACATCTGAGCAACAGGCAGCAGAGCTACTGTTACTGTGGTGGCCCTGGGGAGTGAGTAATGAAGGGCAGGGGCTAAGGGATGAGTCATACGGTGAGAGCAACTCTGAGGGAATGAAGGGGTATGCTGAAAGGGGTGGGGGTAGGTGGTTAGCAGGGTTTGCGGCAGTTAAGGGGAAAGTGTCTGGAGGTCACTAGTACTGTGCTCCCATCAGGTGGAACCTGAAAATGCTGCAGTGCCGGAGCTGCCTGCAGTGGTTCCATGAGGCCTGCACCCAGTGTCTGAGCAAGCCCCTCCTCTATGGGGACAGGTGAGACTGAGGCAGACTCCTCCAGGAGCCCAGGGAGCCCTCTTGCTCTGCTCCACCCTCTGTTACCCCATGTCTGGCTCAGATCCACTGTCTTCCCAACCTCAGCTTTCCTCACCCGTGTGTTCTTGCTGGGAGTCCTTGTAGCATAGGATAGTTGTCCTGTATAAGGTGTGTTTTCTTCCTCTTGTCCATGTCCAGGTTCTATGAGTTTGAATGCTGTGTGTGTCAGGGTGGCCCTGAGAAGGTCAGGAGGCTACAGCTTCGCTGGTGAGCTAGGCTGGGTACCACCTCAGTGTACCCCCATCTCAGCACCTCCAGTATTTCACTCTGCATGCCCCAACCTTCCACCTCATGACTCCCCTGGCTTCTACAATCTTGACAACTCAGTGTTTCTCCAGGGTGGATGTGGCCCATCTTGTCCTCTATCACCTCAGCGTTTGCTGTAAGAAAAAATACTTTGATTTTGACCGTGAGATCCTCCCCTTCACCTCTGAGAATTGGGACAGTTTGCTCCTTGGGGAGGTAAGGCATAGTGAAGCTTTGGGTTAGGGTGGAACAGGAAGATGTGAGGAAAAGGTGGTGGGGGCCTCAGCTTCTTGACTCCATTTTCCTTCTGCTCTCCCAGCTCTCAGACACTCCCAAGGGAGAACGTTCTTCCAAACTCCTCTCTGCTCTTAACAGCCACAAGGACCGGTAAGTTGGAGGAAGGCTCAAAAGAGATGGAGATAGGGGTATGGAAGCCTGGGAGGGGAGGGGCTGCCAGTCACCTGGAAGATCATCTCTGAAACAGACTAACAGTCTAAGAGGGTCCCTTTTCTATAGCACTGACCCGTATTATTTCTTTCCTTACCCCAGTTTCATTTCAGGAAGGGAAATTAAGAAGAGGAAATGCTTGTTTGGTCTCCATGCTCGAATTCCTCCCCCTGTGGAGTCCCCTACTGGAGATGGAGCCCCCACCAGGTCACTGGTCCAGGGGGGATGGGGAAATTCTCAGGGTATTAATCGGGGTGTATGTATGGAGATGGGGAGGTCTTTGGGGGTGTCCGGGAGGGGGCTGGGGGGATAAGGAGGCCTCTTACAGCTTCCCTTCAGGGCAGGGCCCTGGGGGAGGGGTCTCACGTCCCCTGGGGAAGCGCCGGAGGCCGGAGCCAGAGCCCCTGAGGAGGAGGCAGAAGGGGAAAATGGAGGAGCTGGGGCCACCCTCAGCAGTGCGCAATCAGCCCAAGCCCCAGGAGCAGAGGGAGCGGGCTTGTCTACAGAGGGCGCTGCAGGTATGGGGGAAAGGAGGACCCCATGGGGCAAATGGGGGTGTGGGAAAGAATCAGGGATTCTGTCTTAGTCCTTTGCTCCCTCTTCCAGGGCTCAGTGTCTCCACCAACCCCCAGCCCTAACCAGAGTTACCAGGGCAGCAGCGGCTACAACTTCCGGCCCACAGATGCCCGCTGCCTGCCCAGGTCAGTCCTCCTCCACCCTCCAACCAGATATGCTCCCTTGGTTGTCTACATCTTCTGGACGTCTTCACCCAGAATTCTTTTCCCTCTCCTTTTTCCATGGCTACCCACTTCTTCTCCTTGTCTTAGAAAGACTTCTAGAACCAATGTTTGATCCCTAGTTTTCCAGGGATGGAGGTTCCTTGGGAGTAGTGTTTGAGCTCTGCCCTTCTCAGGGGGAAAGGGCCTTCAGGTCATGACTTTCCCCCTCCCCAACCCCAGCAGTCCCATCCGGATGTTCGCTTCCTTCCACCCCTCTGCCAGCACCGCAGGGACCTCTGGGGATGGTGAACCCCCAGACAGGTGAGCTTCTAACCCTTTACCTGTGACACCCTTCTTCACATCTGTGTTCTTAAGTTCCTCAGTCTCTAACCATTTCTTCATTCCTCTGGTTCATGTGTGGCCTCCCTTTCTGGACAGTCCATATCTGCATTTTAGACTCACAGTTGCCTTCTCTCTCTAGGTCACCCCTGGAACTTCACATTGGTTTCCCCACAGACATCCCTAAAAGTGCCCCCCACTCGATGACTGCCTCATCTTCCTCAGTCCCAGTCCCTTCCTCCAGTCTTCCTAGACGCTCAGCACCCCCCTCTCCCCTGTGCCGTAGTAGTTTGTCTCCTGGGACTGGGGGAGGAGTCCGAGGTGGGGTTGGCTACCTGTCCCGAGGGGACCCTGTCCGGGTCCTTGCTCGGAGAGTACGGCCTGATGGCTCTGTGCAGTACCTGGTTGAGTGGGGAGGTGGGGGCATCTTCTGAACGGCCTGCCTCTGCCCACCTCCTCATGCACACACACACACACACACACACACACACCCCGGCACTTTCATACCCTGACCTCTGACCTCACCTACAGCTGGGATGTACCTGGGGAGGTAGGGGGTAGCTCTCCCTACTGCCTAACCTGGAATCCAGGTGGGGGATTGGGGAAGAGGCTCTCTTCTCTACTTCCTTCATGATTCCTGACTCTTTCCCCATCCCTCTTCCCATTTCTTTTGATGTTATTTTGTTACAGCTTTTTAAATATTTTTAAAAATTATTTAACCCCTGGGTATGGAAACTGAGGGAGGGAGAAGAGAGATGATAAAGGATCCCGGATTCTGTATGATTGAAATAAAGATAAATAAACAAGTCTAGCAGCCCTAAGTCATTTTGGAAGATAAGGACACAGAAATGACAAGCACTTCTAGTCTTCCCGACGAAGTTCACATACACGGCAAGGAAAAAGGCAACAGGCAGACTCCAAAGGTAGGATTTATTAGGGGCCCAGTCATCACCTGGAAGTCAGAAAGCACTGATGTATATATATGAGGGGAACATGGCAAGAACAGGACTCAGCATGGTAGTACTGTGCTGGAGTCAGAAACTGACTCTGTAACCTGGCGCACCCAGTGCAGGTATGGGGAGTTCCCCTGCTCCACAGGCAATGCAATCACCTCAGCCACTTCATAAGGGTGCACAGAACTGCAAAACAGATGGTGGATCACTCGAAGATTTACCCAAAGGAACCCTCCCCCTCAGACTGCCCAGCAAGTCCCACCCCACACTCATCCTTGCCCAACTCAAAATTCTCACCGAACAAAATCTGTCAAAGCTGGAACCAAGGAACTCTGAGTTTTAATCATCTAAAGGGTGAAGACACATGGTTGAAACAAGAGATGGGATTGACTTCAGGATTTCAGATGAGGGAAAAGGATCATAAGGGTCAAGGAATTAAGGTTTGGTTGGGTGGGGGAATGTTTCTCACCATCAACACCTCACTGTCCTCCTCAATCTTTCCTTTCCACTCATAGCTGAAAAGGTCAGGGAAAGAGTGTTGTTGGAGCAGATTTCCCCCAAGGAGAAATAGCCAGTCAGACAGACCACGGGTAGGTTAACCCCCCAACAACTATGACTCACATGGATGTAATCTGAGGGATGAGGTTGACGCAAGCTGCGAGGCGCTTCTCCACTACAGCCCTGAAGGTGAAGAGACAGCTCCATTCAGAGCACCCCATGACCCGAATTTTTTGCACTGGCAGCTCAGAGACAGATTTCCAAAGCCGGAGCAGGCAGGAAGCTGCAGGAGGCACACTTCTCTCCCAGCCTCAACTCTCGCCTCATGATTACCCTTCCTCGCTCCACACTGAGGTTCCCACCTGGCGATCTCCTTGGCGACCTTCTCGTTGGGGCAGGTAACAAAGGCTGCTGAGACCGAGCCGGGGACATAGCTGGATTCCGAGGCCGACGAGGGCTGGGCCGGAGGGCTTCCTGAAGCCATGGACAGCAGGGCTCGGGGTAACAACAGAAATCGGGACGCCACAGGCAGCAGCGCTGGCATCCAAAGAAGCGACAGAAGCAGAGCGACCTGAGAGCAGGTGAACTCGATGTCTCCCCACTAATACCCCAGGAAATTGCACCCCGAGAATCCACTGAGTGGATAAACACTCAGGCTCCGCCCTCTCCTGCATCCCGAAAGAAGAGGTCCCTGACGCTAGGAGAAAAACTTGAAAAATTAAGGCAAAGACTTTTCACTGCCCCCTCATGGGCCAAGCTCTGAGATTTTGGGTTCGATCAGTGTTCGAGGCTTCGAGGACCATAAGGGGTGGGGCCGGTCACTCACCCCTCCGCCGAACAGGAGCGGGAGCCTCCTGCAGCCTTTGCTAGTAGAGGAGGGTTGAATACGGAAGCTCACATGTAACACCGAGAAGTAACCCCAAACCCAGGAAAACCCACTTCTTACCTGGGCTACAGACACGTGATAAGAAAACAGCTCAAGCCACGTGACAGCAGAAGCCAGACTACCCGAGCCTCCAGATCCAGCCAATCACAGCTCTCACGTGGCCCGATTTGCCCCGCCTCGTGGTGGGGGAGGTGCTAAGGACCTGACCAATCGACAGCTGAAACTACAGAAGTGTACGGAAAAGACTCTCCCGGTTCCGTATAAACCGGAAACAGCCTATTGAGGGTTGAGCGGAGCCGCAGCGGCGTTCCACTGTCACGTGAGGGGGCCGGGCCCCCTCAGGCAGCGGGCGGTACCTCAGTGAGCTACGCGAAGGGGCCAATCGCGGGCCAGCCGTGCAGGCCACATGATGAGAGAGCTTGCGCTAGGAAAGGGGGCTGAAGACCCCGCAGATTCCATGTGTCAGCTTGTGGAGTAGGGAATGATCCGTAAACCCTAGAATGTGCCTAGTAATGGGCCCCTAATCTCTTCCCGAGGCCTTAAGGAGTGGGAGGGTCTGAAAAGATTAAATTTCAGGGAGTGAAGAGAGCCCCTCCCCCCCGCCTCTTTGGTTAGGACTGCCATTAGCTTGGGTTTGGGAACAAAGATAATCTTGAGAAGCCATCTGTGCCTGGGTAGGGGCAGTGATTCGGCAGGCAAGGGCAGGGCAAGACGATGGCTAGGTGAGGATAGATGCATTTTAAAGGACAGAGTGCGACCCTGTAAATGGGATAGAGGGTGATGAAAATGGGACTGAGAGTGCCTCAGCCTTACTGAAACTCCAGGCAGGAGACAGACAGTGATTTGGGGGTGGGGGTGGGGACTGCAGATTGGGGATAGGAAGACGACGACACTAAGAAGTAGTGATGGCCCTTTTGTTCCTTAGTCCCGTACTATTTCACTCTCCAGGGCTGGTGTACCGCTCAGCCTTGGGTCTCCTCCTCTTAACCCATCCCCCTAAGAGCTAGGATCTGCCCTACATAACTTCCCTGGGGCCCAAGCACATCCAGTGACCCAAAATGGAGAGAGGGGCCAATGACAGGAGAAAGAGGTGGGAAGAGGGCAGCAAAGAAAGATTTTTGCCATCCCCCCTACCCAGGATTCCCCCTCCCTCCAAGATTTGGGGTCTCTGGTCTGCTGGGTGGGTGTGACTGGTGTTTCACAGGCTGATGTCAGATTTCTCTCATAGCTACCTCTGTGGGGTTGGGCATCTCAGATCTCTGTCTTTGGGTTTGGAGTTTGTCTCTGCTATAGATCTTTGAGGGTCTTACAGTATTTGCCTTGGGATCTTTCTCAACACTGGGTTTCCTTCTTGTTTTCTGTTTTGGGGTTTTCTGTGTTCTTGAGTCCCCCATCACTCTCCACAGCCTTTCAAACTATGAATTTGGGGTCTCTGAGTTCTCCATCTCTGGGCTAGCTGAATGTCTTTCTCTCCCTATTCTCTGCCTTCCCCCCACCCCTCTGGAGTTTCTCTGTCTCTGAGTTACCAGTCTCTGAATCTTCACAGTTTCTTTTTTCTGAGATCTAAGTCTGGGGTCTCTGAAATCTTATTCTGTGTCTGAGTTCTCTCAGACCTAATTTTAGGTCTGGGTTCTTTCTGAATCTTTCTTCTTTGAGTTTAGGTCTCAGATCTTCATCTCTAAAGTCACCATCTAAGTCTGGAATCTAAGATTTATGTGGCTATGGGGAACCTTTCTGAGACTGGACACTCAGGCTTTGACCTTTGAGCCTTCTCTCAGGGAGTAGCTGGGGTCTTTTCTTCTGAGATTGGGGTCTCTTTTCCTCTAGATTTTGGGTCTGTGCCTTAGATTAACACCCCCCGACACACACACCCCAGAGCAGCAAGGTATCTTTCTCTGTGGGTCTGGGGTCCCTCAGGCTCAGGGTCTGGGGTCTGCATCTTTAGAGCTGCTCTATGTCTCTCTGCTGTGTTTTTGAGTCAGGGGTCTCTCTCTCTCTGGTTCTGGCTGAGTAGGGGTGGGGGCCGCAGTGTCTCTCCCTCCTCCTCCTCCTCCTCCTGCTCTCTCCTCTTTCGCTCGCTGGCTCCCCCGCCCCCCTCTCTCTCTCTCCCTCTCCCGGCTGCCGCTGCTGCTGTTGGCTCCTATTCTCCTCCTCCTCCTCTTCTCTCCTCCTCTCCGCTCCTCTCCGCTCCTCTCTCCTCCTCTCTCCTCCTCCTCCTCCACCTCCTCCTCCTTCTCCCCCTCTCTCTCCCCCTTCTTTCTCTTTTCTTTCTCCCCGTTCCCCACCCCCCACCCCCCAGGCCTGATGAGCAGGTCTCGTGCTTCCATCCATCGGGGGAGCATCCCCGCGATGTCCTATGCCCCCTTCAGAGGTAGGTGGTGAGGGGAGGGCAGGGGGGAGGGGCAGGGCTGGGGGGTGTTCAGAGCCAGGGCCAAGAAGGGGAGCGACTGAAATGGAGGGGGAGAGGAAGCCAGGGAGGGCAGGAATGGGAACACTGGGGAAGGAGAGGCTGGAGGCCAGAGGATAGGGACAGGTAGGAGCCGAAAGGGCCAAAACAGGCCTTCGGGGGGCTGAGGGGAAAGAGATTACCAGAAAGGGTAGGAAGATAGAAGGCTAGGGTTGGGGAAGAGCTGCAGAGATAATTTGGAGGTGGGAGCTGAGGAAAATATCAAGGAAATAGAAGGACAGGGTCTTAGGAGAGGGGCTAGGAGGGAAAATGAAAACAGGGGTGAAAAAAGGGGCTAGAATATGGTGGTGGGGGGCTCAGAATGGTAGGGGATAGAAAAAAAGGAGATGGAAGGAGAGAAGAGGGGCCAGATGGAGAGAGAGGGAGGAAGGGGAGGGGGGAGGAATGAGGGTCCAGATGGAGGGAAGAGAGGAGAGAGGGAATGGGTTGGGGGAGGAGAGACGGGGCAGGGGGAGGGCCGAATTATATGTGTTTGTTGAGGGGAGGGGGCCAGTACAAGTAAGACTGAGAGTTGGGAGTAGGGGGCAGGTTAGGACCCTGCCCCAAACTCTCACCCTCATTAAGGCCCTTGACCAGTGAAATGTAATCTCTGGGTTCTTATTTCCTTCCTCCACCTCACCACTTTATCCCCTCCCCCACATTCAATCCTTATTTCCATTCACCCTCCCTCCTCTGATGTCCATCACCTATATCTTTCCCCCCATATGGTGTCCGTTCCTCATATGAGTCCCCGCTCTGTCCTTCCCCTGTATCAGTCCCTTTTCTTTGCCTCTCTTCAGTCTGATAGTTGCCTTATATGTCTATCGCCTCTTCACCCCCTCATTCATGACTCCCTTGTCCTAGTACCCCTGTTAATTCCCCCTCATTTCCTCTGTCCCATGTCTAACTGGACCCTTCTGGTATATTCCTTGGCCCTAGGGATTTACCATGATTTCTGACTCCGTTTCTCTTAGATCCATCCCTGTGATTTGTACCGCAGCCCAGCCTCTGTTCCCTATCCCATTCCCTGTTTTGTCACCACACGTATGTGCCTACCCACTTTACACTAACACTCCAGCTTTTATCAGCTGTTCCTCTTTTCTTGTCTCCTCTACTTCCTGGAATGTTGGAGGTTTGGGGAGCAAAAATACAGGTTTTGATGGTTGAATCAGGCCCTAGAAAACATCTCCGTCTGAGCCCTGTGGAATTACTCATCCCAGTAAATCTTTCCCCTTTCTCAGCCGTGTTTCTGTGTCCCTTCCTTACATATGCTCCCAGAATCATCCTACTTAATCCAGACTCGTGTGTGTGTGCGTGTGTGTGTGTGTGTGTGTGTGTGTGTGTGTGTGTGTTTCCAGAGTTGCCCCTAAGCTAAGTTCTCTGGGTCTTTCCCTGCTCCCAGGAGGAAGGTGCCTCCTGAAGTCTAACCTGCTTCCCCGTGGCTGCATCCTAAACCAACCCCTCCTGTAATGATTATGTGTATCAACAGACTTCTCCTCTGGGGGTCCTCAGAGTCTGAGTGGGCATGTTGCCTGCAGAGTCTACAGTCTCAGAAGCTAGGGTTTGGTGATCTCTGTGGCTAGAGGGTATCAGTTAGAGTCTCCTAGATGGCATTGAGGTAGTGAGAGTTTCAAAGTATTGAGGCTTGTAGATGTCTATATTCTGGGAGTTCATCTCTGACACTGATCAGATGGTTGGGTAAATTTGAAAAGATGCTTGTAGACAGAAAGGGGCTCGATTTTTCAAAACTCCTACTCATGGCATTCAGTTAGAATGAAGCTCAAAGACCACTTCCTTTCCTGCAATATACCCATGATTAATTATCCTGTAAGGGCGACAGAATTTGACTTCTCTTCCTCCAAACTCTTTCACTCTTGATACCTTAAGCCTATTTTCTGTAACTTTGATGTGACCAAGTTGATTTCTCCTACTTTCATAGGGCCTGTCCCCTGTGTCCCCGTGACGGTATGTGGCAGTGGGGTTTAAAAAAGAGGCAGTTTTCAGGGATGGGGCATGGGAAGAGCAATAGCAAATTGGAGAAGGAGACTGGGGACAGCTCTGAGCATGGGCAACCCTTGGTCTGCTGTTCTTTTCCAGAAGTTTCGTCTCCATCCCCAGCTATAGTCTTTGGAGAGCCCACCTATGTCACAGGCCTGGATCATTCATTCTCTCCTCCCCTCTTTCTTCCTCAGCTCCTCACTGTGCCTTGGAGAAGTTCCTAATCTGTGGTGTTGGCTCCCATGCTGTCCATGAAGACTAGGTGGGGAGGCAGGGTAGTACGGAATCTTTGATTTCTGGGCATGGAATAGGGGAAGAGATCAATTCAGTCTGTATTCATTCAAACAAGGGCATATTTCCTGCCTCCTCACTCTCTGGCCCCTCCACAGTCAGATGCTGACAAGGTCCATCCTCCCCCCACCACTGGAAGAATAAGAACCTTCCCCAAAGGATGAGTAGGGTTGAGGTAGGGAAGAAGAAAGCAAAGGTTAGAGGTGAGGCAGGAAAGGAGACCCTCTCATGTCTTTGACTCTGTGAACAGGTAAGCTTCTTCACTTCCTCTCTTTTCCAGATGTTTAGCTCTCAGGATCTCATAACCACCTTTCCACACCCCAAACCCATCCCTC